GAAAACGTGGAAATGACCGAGCCGAGCAATGAGCCCGCTTCGTTGTCGCCGACCTCCGAAGTTTCGAGTTCATCGAATGACTGTTCGAAAACCAGCGTAGATTCCTCCGAGGATCGGATCCTCAATGGTTCTGAGTTGAACGCGATCGAGCCTGATCTCACCGACGTGAATGGCGTGGATTCAACCTCGGAGCCGACAACAGTTAACCAGACCGCGCTCAATGGGGAACTAGAGCACACGGGAACTTCCCTGGAAGAAATTCATGCCAAAGTTGTCCTTGATCAAACGGCGGCGGCTATTCCAGGAACTGTTGTAGATTTGTAGAAGGATCAATGTAGATATGAAAGCTGGGTCGGATAGTGATGTTCAGAATGAGGTTTGCTGAGAGTGAGGGTTCTATATGGATCACTTTTTGATCTCTGTTGTGACTCTTCATCTTTTCAAGTGACGATGAAATCAGAGCGTGGTAATCGTTTGACGTAGGTGATTGATGTCGACCTACATGCAATGTGTTTCTGCAGGTGCCTTTTTCTCGGGATTGTGTATCTTACGAGGGATATCTCAAACGTCTCGAAAATCGCTGAGAAAATTTTCATCGCTGATGGATGGAACCTCGGGCACCTTTTTTGTTCGACGTTTTGAACAAATTTTCTCCCCATTAAAAATCGCTGAAGATGACATAAAGCTGATGCATAATTATGCCTATGGGAATTATGAGAGAATAATTCTGTTTTTAGTTTACAGTACTGTATTTTTCCCATCCTGCCGTTGGCGGAAATTTTCAACTTTATGGAATTGTGCATCATTAAAATCACTGAAATTATAATTTTCTCCCGAAAATTTTCAAGAACCACCAAGCCGAACTTTTTAGTGTGTACATTTTTGACATTTCTTCATGGTTTGACTGAAGAGCTTTTCAGTAAGTCGTATATTAGCGCCATCACTTCTTATTTTTAATGAATGCAGTTTAGGATATTGTTCAGATGCCCAGAAAGTTTTAATGTGCAGTAATAAATAATTTTTCATTTTCAGAAAAATAAATACGAAAATGTTGTTGAATCGAAGTTTCAATTTTTGTGTAGGAAAAGATTTTTTTCATCCAACTGCGATGATGATTTGTAAGCGGCTCGCGAGATTTTTCAAGATAAACCCTCGTATGTTTTGAACATGTCCACGTCGATGTCTCAGGAAATTCAATTCCCCCCTGTCTAAATTCAAATTCATCTTTTCATTTATGTCTTGCACATCCGTAGCCCTGGGTGACAAAATTTGTACTTGAGATTTCGAATGATGAATGTTCTCATTGAGTACGAATGCATCATCTTGT